ATCAGGCGTCGTCGTGCTGTTGCCGAGGCGACAAAAGTTTTACAGTGGACGGACGGTAATGTTAGAGTTGTTGTTGTTTTCTTTATCTTGAAATAATCCCAGACTTTGGACACTTTCTTCTTCGTCTCTCGCTGTTTTCTCTCAGAATCAGAGCTTTACTGCCAAGTAGTGTTTTACACATACGAGGAATTTGCTGCGGTGCTACACGCAGACAAACATGCTGTCGACATAAATAAATGTAGAAACATATAAATATGGAATGGAAGAACAACGTTACAGATATATACATACTCTCTCCCTCCACTTTGCAAACAGCGGCATCATAATCACGTTGTGTTCACAGCGTAAGCGATGTGTGACTAATAATAATGTCCGTGTGGAACACTGTGGTGTAAAGTTACATGGATGCATTTTAGTAATTGAATTAATCAATGAATTGTTTCAGCACAAAAATGATGTAAATTTCAAGTAATGAGTAACAACTTCAGGTTTGTCAGCAGCAGGTGTAGAAAATGAAGCGATAACACATTTCTACATTAACACCTTGTACTATATTTTTATATATATAAACCCAAAACTCAAAAGATGTTCTGTTTTCTTGTTTTTTTTGGGGGGGGGGGGGCATTTCTAATTGTTAAAATAGTTGCAGGTTAATTTTCTGATGAGCAACTGATCAGATAATTGACTATCTGTTGAAGCTCTAGTACAAACATATTTAATTTAAATGGTGTAACTACAAACTCGGGCCTGTAGTTAAAGTCCTTTAAATGACTCTGCTGTAATCTTATCGTCTGGATCATCTTTCTGTCTGGCCTTTGATCCACCGTGTTTTTCTGCAGCAGGTTCATATTGTCACAGACCTGTTCCTGGTGTGTCTTTAAACATTAGCTGGTGTGTTTAAATGTCACGGGGCCGGACAGGAAGGATGGGCTAAACTACCAAAATAAGGCCCACCTGGCTCTGAGGAAATGGAATTTTCCGGCCGGGGTTGCTCTGGTTTAACTTCTTTTTTTTGGGATGTAGTTTCCATAATTTTTCTACATCTGTTGCGTTTAGATTTAACAGAAGGTGCATCAGACATGTTCACTGACCCTCTGTGAAGCTGAGCGCTGCAGAGGAAGTGCCCGTTTGCGTTTCTCTGGGTCGCTGTTCAGAGTTTGAAGTTCACTCTGGCTAATGAGTAGCTATGTTTCCTAGCTTTGGTGTTGAAACGCCCCGAAATCAGCGCCAAGCTGGTCCTGCTGAAGTGTCTCTGAGCAACTTCCAGAACATTTAATCTTTCCATCCATCTTTACTTTGAGTTTCTACCTCCTGACTGAAGATTTGCACCTCGGTTTGCTCTTAAAGAGCTAAAAGGTGCAGCTGACCTCAGCTTTTTGTAAAACAGCCCTGAAGGTGATCCAGAAAAAAGTCATTTAATAATAAAGGCGGGACAGGCCAGTGTCTGCGGCGAGTTGGTGTCTGTAGTAACGGCGGGACAGTAGAGCGTCCGCTTTGTGCCATATTCCCAAAGCTGAACTATTCAGATCATCTGAAGAATTAAGGGATGGATGGATGAGTAAATAAAGATTTAATTTGCAGAAAAACAACTCGCCACTCTGTCTCTCTCTCTCACAAACACAGAGCAGGGTATAAACAGTAATTCCCAGCAGGCACTGAGCTCTCACTTCTTGTCCAGGCATGAAGTCGCAGCATCACGTCACGTTCAGGTGACGCAGTCTGCTGCCGCAGGGGGTTTTGTCTGAGCTGGCGTCCCAGCTGCAGGTGGATCAGCGTTAAAGCGTGTCTGCGTGCAGCCGGCTGTTTTCCTGCAGAGCTTTACTCCCTTTGTTTCCACACCACGCCGGCGGCGAGGAGCGTGGATCAGAAGCCGGCGGCTGGTTCCTGTGCTGCTGCTTGTGCAGAGATTAAAAACAGCCGGTCTCTTCTAGTTTACGCCCAGCTGGAGATTTTAACTTCCAACTAGAGAAATTAAGTTTATTTATTTTATTTCATAGAAACAGAATCTGTTTTGGGCTTCAATGTCAACCTCAAACGTATCTTTTGTCATTTTTCTACTGACCTGACATCTTGTTATATCTGGGCACCTTCTCCCAAAGTCTTCATATAGGCAAGTCCCGCCGCTCGATGAGGGACGGAGACGAAGCTGCACCGTCACTGGTCACCTGGTCAGATCTGATTAAAACTTTCCCCCACAGGTTGCACTTCTGCTGCTACGCTGGTGACCGTCTGTGTTTTCATCGAACGTATATACGTAGAATATAAAGAAGTTAGCAGGCGGTGAAGCTGCACCTGCAGTCCCGCAGGTCCTCAGGCTGTTTGCTGATGAGCCTTTATCACCTCAGCAGGAAGTGGAGTTCACACCCTGCCTTCATGTTTCTCATTATTGCTGAATGAGGACGTGATCTTTAGACAAGTGCAAGCAGGTCGAGATGTCCTGTTGCCAAACGTGGGAAACTACAGACCTGCAGCTCAGGTTCTTCCTTTGCTTGTTTGCATCCTGTGGGTGAAATGTAAAGCTGATATTTGCATGGCTAAACTGACACAACAATGGCAATGCAAAACTGAAACAGAAATATTTTTGTAGAACGTCTGGATCCTGAGTTATCAGAGGAAAAAAAGCTCAGTAAACTTTTGCAGCAAGCTCGCCTCGCCGCCGCTCTGTGCTGCCAAACCGCATTGGAGAAACGCTGATTTTTAACGTGAACCTGCTTTATTCAGCGTTTCTACCCGTTTTAATTTCCTGCTCGGTTTGTTTTGGAGACGGGTCGATGAAGTCAGTGGCGTAGACAACAGCTCCCATGATCCTTTGCTACTTCACGATATTGTTTGGCTGTGAGAGACGAGAGAAGCAGTGCATTTAAACAAACATATGATGGCAGTTTTGGCTAAATTGAGCCGCTGACGTATGAAATCGGGTAAAATAACTGATTGAACAAAAGTAAATTCTTTGGGTTTCTGTCTCAGTGGGCTGAATCTCTTTGGGTTCTGGATAGAAGAAGACATTTGTCAACATCGGAGGCTGTGGGGGACGTTTCTTACAGTTTGAACCAAACCTGAAGCGACATCCCTCTGAAGATGAGTTTGCATGTTGTGAATCTGAAAACAGCTATCACATGCCTTTTAGGGCCCAAACCGGAGCCACAAAAACCTGTAAATCAGTTTTAATTTGTGCTTTGAAGTCATCTAAATATAACCGTGGCGTGCAGAGGGCTCTGCCAGGAAGCAGTCATCAGCTGGAGCTGCTGCTGTAAACAGTTTACAGGCTGTAAACAGTGAAAGCGGCCAACGTTTCCAGCTCTGGTTCGTTCCAGCAGAGCTCAGATGTTTGAGTTCCTCCCGAACGCCTCGGCTTCAAACCAGAGACGCGAGGAGGAGGAAGAACCGCTGCGTTTGTAACTTCCTGTTTGTGTGGGGTGGCTGCTGTTTAAGGATGTGACCATTTCACACCAAAGGCTGAGAACCTCGACGGCCCGGGCGTGTTTGCGCTCTGATGAAGCTGCTTCAGTTCAGACGTTCCGGCGCGATCCTGCGCGTTAGGATCTGAGCTGCGATCGGGGTTATTAAGTCTGAAGAGTTTAAAATGTACGTGGAAGCGCCGCACGTAATCCTGCCGGAGCCGCCGCTAGAGGACGAAGACCATGGCGTGCGATAGACCGTCAGGGCTGTGACAGCTACAGAATAACTACAAGGAAACAACAGCTGTGATTGGTCCGTTGGGTTACCTAGATGTAACCCCAGTTCTGAATTAAATCTGATTATTGTATAGAAGTCTGTGAGAAAATGTTTCTTCTACTTTTATTTTTAAATAACTGTTTTTATCAACGGAGTCTGGCGGCTTTGACGAGAGCGATATAGTGACTGTTTCTGGTGAAACAAAATGGATCTTACCCTTTTTTAAAAAGCTCTCTCTCTGTAGGGATCCTTCCCATCATGCTGTCAGACACTCGTGAAAACAATCTCAGCCTGTCGGCGGCAAACACAAGCTCTTAGTGGCGGAAGAAGATTATTTTAGTAGTCTGGTTTTCTACAGATTATTCCTTCGATTCGAGTAGTCGGATAGGAGCTCCTTTCGCTTGGCGCCCGCCGGGATCAGCTGTGTTACTCGGATGTCGGTGCAAAGACTGCACGCTCTCTGCTCAGATGCTGGAGCCGTGGTGCTGTTTTCTGTTAGCTTGAAAACAGAAAACTTGCCTTTAAAGCAGGATGTTGCTCATCCTGAACTGATGCGGATTATATTTGTCAAATATAATGTTGTGCAAACTGTTGCGTAGTTTAATTTATAACAAACCATTTAATGAACTCTTCTAATTGTTTATGTTTCTTAATAATTAAAGTGTAGTAGTTGATGTGGTGCAGTAGACGTATAACGTTTTATGTCTATTACTTACTGGATGTTTGCGAGTTTGAAAATGTAAATAGACAACAGCCTTCAACACACACACAAACCACAGTGGAACATTTCATTAACAGGAAGTTATTAAACTTGTCATTTTGGCGCCGCAGGGACGCAACACCAGTTCGCAGCTTCGCCCAGTCCTCTACCACGCAGCAAGATACGAACTATTAAACATATTTATAGGCGTTTACTTAAAGTTTTTTTGGTGAACTTTTGAGTTTTAAACCAGATAATAATGTTTTCAGCTCCACTCTAACCCCATTAAACCTCTGTGGTGACATCCCATAATACCCCAGGTGCATGTATATACATACAGGCCGAGTTTCTCTCTAAAACCACTTCCCCCCCCCCGCAGCTTCCTGCTGTGTCGAAATAAACAGTGACACATTTCCCCGGATGATTTCAACAAAAGATTCTCACTTCTGGACCTCTTCTTTGGCATTTTCACTCCTCAGCTCACAAACGTCTGAAACATCTTCACGAGTATTTTGTTGACGTGTTAATAAACAAGATGACTGACATGAGTGTCTTTGTTTTTCTTCCTCTGTCGTCCCTCTTCTTCCTCTGTCGTCCCTCTTCTTCCTCTTTCCAAACCTCTCAGAGTTTTCAAGAAGTCGAGCCCCAACTGTAAGGTGAGTCAGCCGGTTTGTGTGTTCTGCAACAGTGTTTTAGGAAATATAAAGAGCAGGAGGGACGACAGACTGTTTACTTAAAAACAAAACACAATGAAGTACTAACAGAGAAAGGTGCTTTACTATCTATGGAATGTTATTTATGCCAATATTAAATAAATGCTGTACGGCTCAGAAATACCAGTCAGAAGTTTTACAACACAAAAACAGCGATTACCAAAACAGACGTTTTCAAATATAAAATAAAAAATGGAATTGAGTGGGTTTTTTTTTTTTTAAATTACAGTAGAATGATTTAACGAAAATGAACTTGAAAAATGAACCACAGGCCCGTGTTTGTGATCCTCACACTTTAAAATGAAATAAGTTAATACTACAGCTTTATTAGTCAAGTATCTCGTTATTTGCTCAACAGAAAAGTAAAACCTGAAACTATTTTAATAATTATTCATCACTTCTCAAAACAAATGCGCAAAACTCTCTGGTTCCGTCTTCTTAAAGTGTTTCAGCTTTGATTCCTCTTGTAGTAAACAGAACGAGTTTTGGGACTGTTAGTTAATAAAAACAAACAAATTTAAATATATAACTTACATTACCGGTCAAAGGTTTTAGATCCAGCTCCGTGTTTGTAGCTCTTCTGTAAATCGAAGTACTTCAAGTCCAGTGAAAAACTATAAATGGTACAAAAGTAAAGTTAAAAACAGTGTCTCCGTCACCAAAACAGAGATTTTCAGAGCTAAAATTAACAATTAAATTAAGTGATTTGTTCATTATTTTACTGTAGGATCAACCGCTGACCGGCTGCTCTGTCTGCCTTCATTAATATTATATATTAAATATAATATAGTCCAAATAAAGCTGCTGAGGTGTATTAACAGGCTGTTCTAAGGTGTTTACTGTATGAATAATTTACTTCCACTGCTGCAGAATAATCAAAGAAGGTAAAAAGACAAAGTTTTTATGTCAGTAAAACGGAGGAAAATTGTAAATTTCAGAGATGAGATTAGTAATAAGGTACCAACTAAAACTTATTCTGCAGCAGGTGAAGTTTCCCTTTACACAACAAAGCAGACAGTTATGTAGGTTGTAGGTACAGGAAGAAAGTATGTTTGTTTACAAAGAATAAATGTTGTGTCGTGCTGCTTTGGTCTGAATCTCTGAGATAATCCGCCCTAATTTAAATATTTATATATATATATATATGGAAATAAGGAAATAAAAAGGAGTAAAAGAAGTGAAGTTAAAAAAGTACAATGTTTACCTCTGATGTGTACAAATACTCATTTGAAGGACAAATTTTTGTATCAAGTTTGGGGGAAGGTGCTGAAATAAGTCGGGCGTCGTCGTCTGAAGCTCACATACTTTTATTAATCAGTAGGAACGTTGACTGAAGAGAAATAAATACTGTAAGTAAGTCAAACGGCTGACGCTGTGATTGGTCTGTGCAGGTCACGGTTTACCTGGGAAAGCGAGACTTTGTGGATCACCTGGACCACGTGGACCCAGTAGGTGAGTCAGCACATCTGGAGGTCTGTATATTAATATTTCCCAAAGTTATGAAAGTCCTGGAAAAGTTATGGAAGTACGAAAGTTTATAAATCTCATCAAACCTTGTGTATTTATAAACGATGACTTAAACTCATTTAGTTATTTAGCTAATTTCTGCAGCAATGTGAGGATTTAAGTTGGAGCTACGGTCAGACTTTATGAACGAGTTACCGTGTGAGGCGTCTGCTGAAACGGGGATTTCCAGGTGTGTCGGCAGACCTGAGCAGGTGAACGGCAGCCTGCGGGGTTTGTGGCTGGAGCATCTGCCCTTTTTAAAACGCAGCAGAAAGAAGGCGAGTGAACTTTGTGATGACACGGCGTTTTCTCTTCCTTGCCGCTGACAGATGGAGTGATCCTCGTCGACCCCGAGTACCTGAAGGACAGGAAAGGTAGGCAAGCTTCCTCCTGAACTCTCTACGTCAAAGTTCTTTTAAACAGGCGACTCGCCGATAGCCGGTTTGACGTCATCGATGGACCCGGGTTCTCTTAGATCGTCTCTTTAGTCTCTTTCTGACTCGGTGACGTAAAGTAACACGAGCTGACTCAGCAGTTTAAAACAAGACTCCCTGACTGAAGACGTTGGCCTCAAAGGGTAACTTCAGTTGTATGTTCAGTTTCTCAATGTTTTTGTGACTGATTGGGTCAATGTCTTCTGTAATTGGTCCAGTATTGAGCTCACGCGCTGCAGTCGTTTTGCCGCCGACAGGCTCAGATTGTTTTTACAAGTGTCTGACAGCATGATGGGAAGGATCCCTACAGAGAGAGGCCTTTGTTTAAAGAGTAAGATCCTTTTGGTTTCACCAGAAACAGTCGCTATATTGCTTTCGTCAAAGCCGCCAGACTCCATTGATCAAAACAACAGTTTTACCTCTGTGTGTTACAGCTGCCTTGATCGGGTTTGTTGGTGTTACTGTGTGACTTTGGTGTTTTTAACCCTTTTAAATTGCACAAAAACAACAAAGTCACACATTAACAGGAACTAACCATCCGACTGAGGCAGCGGTAGACCAGCAACTCCAGTATTCTGTGACGTAAAATGACAAATGTTTTTATCAGTGGAGTCTGGTGGTTTTGATGAGAGCGATAAAGCAACTGTTTCTGGTGAAACCAAAATGATCTTACTCTTTAAACAAAGGCCTCTCTCTGTAGGGATCCTTCCCATCATGCTGTCAGACACTTGTAAAAACAATCTGAGCCTGTCGGCGGCAAAAACAAGCTCTTCATTGGACGCACTTTGGCGGAGGTTGCAGCTCTGTTTCGCTGCTGCCGTCCTCAGTGTCCACAACCAATACTGTTGTCTCAGTTAGTCACACGGACACACAAAAAGTTGAACTTTAACCTGAGGTCTAACTGGAATCACACTTAGTCAGAAATAAGGTCAACGCGTTGCTTTAGATGCACGAAGAGGTGTTATCGGTAGAAGGACGAGCGCTCGGCCGAGTCAGGACCAGGGTTAATGAACAACACAGAGCAGAAGAGACTAAATATGTGCAGGAAGCCCGACACCTCCTCAGCTCAGGCTGTGGTTCAGGTTTGATACAGAGTGAAATAAACACAGGATGTGTATTTTTATCTAAGAGATGTATTTTTTTCCCACCAAACAAACCACCTAAAAGATTACATATCTTTCCATTCATGGTGTCATGACTTTGTTTAGACTGTTAGATAAATTCTTATTATTATTTTAAAATAATTTGATAGAAACGCAAAGACCCAGGAGACATTTTAGATTTCCGAGCCACTCATTCTGCTTGTACCTTCCTCCCTGCAGTCTTCGTCACGCTGACCTGTGCGTTTCGTTATGGCCGCGAGGACCTGGACGTGCTGGGTCTGTCTTTCAGGAAGGATCTGTACATCTCCACCTTCCAGGTAAGACCTCCACACCTCAGGGGAAAGTACACTTGCTGTAAGTACACGTTTGAGGTACATGTCTGCAGTATCACCACTTTCTACTGCCCTGCATCGCACAGGGAAGTCTTGTACTTTTTACTGCACTACAAATACTGAAACGCCTTTTCAGGCGAGGGGCGATTGACGCGCCTAGTAATTAATTTTCAATGAACTTTTATCTACGCACAGAGCATCGCCGGACGAGAGACTAGTGTTGGTTTCGTCAGACGAAACTAAAGGAAATATATTCGTCAACGACCTTTGTTCCTCTGACGAAGACCAGACGGCGACAGTGACTATATTATTGTGCAGTATCGGTGACGAGACAAATTATTATAATAATAATAATCAGAATTAATCATTTTAAAAGCAAAATAATAATAATTTATTAAAACACGGATATTTTAAAAGCTGATTTGAGACCATTTTCTCAAAGACTTCAGATAAGAAGGCCAAATCAGGAACAGGTCTAAGATTTTCCAGCGAGTTTCTATCCAGATTTGGTTTCTTCAGCAACGGTTCAACCACTGCAGATTTGAAGCAAGCCGGAAAATCTCCTGTGGAGAGCGAAAGGTTTAAAACAGCTAAAACATACAATCCTAGTGTTGGCCGTAGTTCTTTAACAACCCGGGCAGGCAGGGATCCAGAGAGCAAGCAGTTCCTCTTGCAGTCGCAACAGTTTTAGTTAACTCGGCTAAAGAAATCGGCTCAAACTCGGAGTGGCCCTGTAGAAAATGGTCGTGTGACAGCGCAGTCTAATCCCCCAACATCTGACTGGGGTATCATAGTTCGGACGTCCTCAACTCCCTCATAAAAATACATCATAAAATCATGTGCTGACAAATTGGTACTACTTAGTGGCTGCTGACACTGCAAGTCCATCAGCAGTGTCGGATACGAGCTGCAGCAGCCATCCTAGACTGATAGGTGGTCAGACTGTCATCATTTAGCTGCGGTAACTTCCGTGTCTTAGCTGGAGCCAGCCACTCTGTCGGCTGTCTGCGAGACAGTCCACAGTAAAAACTGGATCCATCACATCTGGGAGTTTCAGATTAAGGCTGATATATCGAGATAACCTTGTCTTCTGCACCGTTTTCCCCGTACTAAATGAATTAGGGACTGACATGTCAAATAATATCAGCCAGTGATCTGAAATTGGTAAAGCACTGATATTATTAACCGACACAGACAAACCAGAGCTTAAAACTAGATCTAATGTATGTCCACGCTGGTGTGTAGGTTCACACACACATTGTGTGAAACTTAAAGACTCAGTGACATTTAAGAAGTCTTTAACCAATAGCTTATCATCACAACAAATACGGATATTAAAATCACCAACAATTAAAATCCTCTCATACGGCTAAATAAATAACTAGCTAAAAAGTCCGTAAAGTCAGAAATAAAGTCATCATGGCAGCGATCGAAACCACAGAAGGTTTATTTATAGGAAAAAGCTGCGATTCAAAACTAGAATAAGGATCACAGTTTAAATTCTGTTTGCATTTAAAAATGTCCTTTAAAAAGTGAGACAACCCTCCCTCCTCTTCCAGAAAGTCTCAGAGTGCTGAAAAAGCTGACAAAGTCCCATCAGTGGCGAATCATCACGCTCACGCATCCGCGTCTCTGTCTGAACGTAAAATCTAGAGCTGGGAATTTAAAAAATGTCTCGTTAGACAATAACTGGACATCCAAAAGTTACCTTTATTCCTTCATCGAGCGGCGACGTAATGCATGCAGGTTATCCACAGATCGTTATAGCAAGTAGGCCAACAGTCGGGTCCATGTAAGTCCTTCTCTGCCACGCATTTAACTTAACCGCGAGCACGCCGACGTTCCTCTGGTACCAGAACCAGGAAGAGGGAAGGATTTGCACCATGTCCACCCTCCACGAGTCAAAGCCTCACAAAAGACGCTCACAAACCAGTGATGATTTAGTGTTCTTAACGAGCAGAGACGCCACCAGAAGCAGAACAGATGGCACAAACAATGACGACGGGACAAAAACAGGAGCAGAGAAACGGCGAGTCAAGACAGTCGGCGCCGTCTCTCGTTAATTTCTCAGTTTTAAAGTAACTAAGAAAACATGAAACGTTCGATTGTACGGTGTAACGTTACGTTGGCGTAACAGCAGAAATGTTTAGATAATTCAGATTATAATTTCATTTTTGGGCCAAAAATGTTATCACGATAAAAACATTTCATGTCATTTGATATTGCTAATTATCGTGATACGTGTCAAATCATTATTTCTTTCAAGTTTTAAGGCTGGTTTGTGCTCCTGAATGTAAATTTATGTGGTTAAACGTTTCTTCACGCTCAGAATGTGACAGAACACTTGATGCCAAACAGTGGAGAACTTAACAAATCAGAACTATTGTGACAAAATCTTTTTCAATAAATAAGTTTTCAGTCCCTTTTTCCTCAAAAAAATTTATATTTTAATAGACAAATTAAATTTAATTTGTAATTCAAATGAATTAAAGTTATTAAGGAAAATTATATTGCGATAATTATCTTTGAAGCCATTTCCACTCACAGAGCAGCAGGTTGATGGGTCGCTCTCTAAAATACTCCCCATCTTTAGACGGTGGGAGGCGAGGTGTTGTCCCTGCTCACACCGGGTTCTTATGTGAATCGGCGTATATTCGTAATCGGCTGCGTCGATGAATCACCCAGCTCCTAAATATCTGTGTTTGTTAATTTGTTAATAACGTTGAGCTTCTGAGCGTTATTTGGACCTAACGAGCGCTGTGAGGGCGTCACTTTGGGCTCTGGGTAACTGTGACGGCAGAATCTTTACAAACCAAACAGTGATGGAGGAAATAATCAGCAGGTTGATCCAGAATGAAAAGAATCATCAGTTGCAGCCTGAAACTGGACAGAATGAGCTGCAGCAGCAACATCCTGCTTTATGTTAATGAGGAGGAATAATAACCTGATGGTAGCCATCTGTCACTGAGTACTTTCACTTTAGACTGCTTCATCAGTTCATTATCCTGATACATAATTAATTAACACTCTACTTACTACTGTGAGTGTGTGTATATATCTGAGAACTGTGAAGTTAACGTGTCCTCCCCTCTCAGGCCTTCCCTCCGGTGCCTGAGGAGCGGAAACCCAACAGCCGGCTGCAGGAGAGGCTGCTGAAGAAACTCGGCCAGCATGCGCATCCCTTCTACTTCACTGTGAGTCCCTGCGAACACGCCTGCCTTCTCTCCACAGGGTCGGACGAGCTCAGGAACTTCACCTGCATTCACCACCACAGGAACCAGGGTCTACCGCTAAGCTGCCACCAAAAGTACCCGGGACTTTTCCGTCCCCAGGTCTATTTCCGAGGAACTAAAAGGTTCCTTCAGGCCTCTGTTGTGTGCGTTTCCACCGCGGTCTAAAGACCTGCGAAGTTCAGGCAGATTAACCAGCTGGCGTAGGCTGTAGGCCTGCACGCCGTCACAGCGACGCACAGGCATCATTACTTGTAACCACGATCCATGAGCAACATTTATAAATGAACATCGGATTTGACTGAATATAAAGAAAAACTACAGGCTGTGTTTGACCATTAAAGCAGCTTTTTGTGGGAGTAAAATGAAGAGACGCACGATAAAGATTGTTACAGATTAAATAACAAACTGGATAAAACCATCAAGTTCTAAAAATAACTCCAGCTCAGAGAAAGAAACACAAAAATAAAATGGCGACAGTTTGGAAGGTTATTAAAACATTTCCAGCCGACAGGAGCAGCAGGTCAGCTGCAGCGTCACGTCTGTGTCGCCTGAGCGTCGTTTAACGTGCTTTATTAAAACCTCCTGACTGATGAACACTTCAAACAACCACTCAGGACCCAGTATTTAGCTGAACTCCATCAGCTGTTCGCTGTAAACACACCGCTGCACGCCGGCTGCTGTTTCCCAGCAACACATTTAATACCGACGTTCGATCTCAGGCGACGTCGGCGAGACTCGTGCGGCTCTCTGACTGCTGGTTGTGATTTATTGGTTTGCAAACAACGGCGGAAAAGAAGAGCAGTCGTAGAAAAACAGCCGCCATCCTCCAGTTAAAGCCAGTAGCCTCTACTCGCACATTCAGAAGTTCACTGCAAGGCAAGCCCCCCCCCCCCCCCCCCCCCCCCCCCCCGAGCAGGGACTCTTTGGGGACCCTAGAGCTAAATGTAGACCCTGGTCCCTCCGGTGGAAACGCATTGAGTTCCTCGCCCCCCCAAAGCGTCCCTAAACCTTGGGGTGGACCGTTCTGACACTGGTTAGATTAATTTACCTGAGTTCTTCAACGCAGACAGGGAGTGCTCACAAACGTTCCTCTGGTTCTGTAGTTCCTGGAAGTGTTTGGTCGGAGAGCGTTATTAAATGAAATAAGCATCAAACACTCAGCAGATTGTCTCCTTTTGCTCTGAATGTCTCCTTTCAGCCACACACAGCTGTGTTTCCTCGTGCATGTCAGCAACAGGAATTTACAGAAAGGGACTTTTAGTTCCTGGAAGTATTTGACTGTAAACTGGTGTGTGATGAGTTTGTCTTCACAACGCTTCCTCGTGCTCAGAGTTGTTTTTCTGACTAACTCCTCCAGAGTTTCTTCCCTTTAAGATTAAAGGCTTTTGCCCCCCCCCGGACTGATGCTAAGCTAAAAGAGCTGTTCGGAGCACGGAGGAGGACTTTATAAAGAAAGCTTCACGGTGAAGCTGCAAGAAGAACAACGTCTAAAACTCCAAGTCGGTCTGCTGTAAGCTGGAGTCCTGTGTGCTGCCGATCACAGTGATCGATTAACACCATCAGCTCGACCTCGCAGCTGCAGGTTTCAGTCCGTCTGGATCTGCAGCAGCTCAAGAGGAAGAGCATCGCTGAGCCTCCGCTGGTCGCTGATAAATCTGCTTCCTCTGGCCTCGTTCTCTAGTTGAATCCCATTCACAAAGTCCGATCCAAAGGTTGAGAAGAGCATCAAGTAGTTTAGATCACACCAGACGCTCCGCCGTCTTTTATCAGAGTTTGCAGAGTTCTGCTTTAATATTCGTGTGGTTTGGACTGGTGGCTGCTGGGAGTTTTGGGGTAAAGGTCGGCGCTCTGTGAGGAGCTTTGTGTGCGAGTATCGCCCCTTGGCGTTCAGAGTACGTGGCATTGAAATGTGAATTAAGGGGAAATGTTCATGAACTCTGTGGCGTTAACAAAGTGTTTTTCTTCTCTGCTGATTCAGATTCCTCAGAACCTCCCCTGTTCAGTCACTTTACAGCCCGGCCCAGAGGACACCGGGAAGGTAAGTTCACATGTAATCTAGGGCTGGACGATTAATTGAATTTTTGTTTTCCATTATGATTATAAAAGCAAGATAATCGAGATAAAACGACCTGTCTTGGGATGGGTTAAAAGGATCAATAAAGGATAAAAGTCTCTCAGACAGGCTGTGGCATGATTGGGTCACTGTGGTCAAGACAGCCTCAGTTGGGATTTTAATGTGCGTCTATCTGTGCTGTTGCAGTTTCCAAACTCCTGGTAAATAATCCTAATCTATAGAGGGCCTCAGCCTTACTTCAGGAAAAATATGAACGGTAGTCAACAGCTGAATGTCTCAACTACACACATGACGATGGTCAATTTAAAATGAGCATTTAGAAGTCAAGAAAGTCGGAGTTTGATGTAAAACTGTTGAAGTATACGACTGTGAAAATACATAATTACAAAGACCACAAACCCAAAAGTCGCTGCAGCTAACGCTAACGTTACTGCAGCTAACGTTACTGCAGCTAACGCTAATGCTACTGCAGCTAACGCTAATGCTACTGCAGCTAACGCTACTGCAGCTAACGCTAACGCTACTGCAGCTAACGCTAACGCTACTGCAGCTAACGCTACTGCAGCTAACGCTAACGCTACTGCAGCTAACGCTACTGCAGCTAACGCTACTGCAGCTAACGCTAACGCTACTGCAGCTAACGCTACTTCAGCTAACGCTAACGCTACTGCTGCTAACGTTACTGCTGCTAACGTTACTGCTGCTAACACTAACATTACTGCAGCTAACGCTACTGCAGCTAACGCTACTGCAGCTAACGTCAAAGAACTTACATGAGAGGATGATGTGAGCCGTTGGATTAAACACATCAGGTGAGATGTATTTCAGCGTGGAACATAGCTACGTTACCTGCTTTAGTGTTTTAGGACAAACGTTAACTTTCTTGACGGATAAAATTATCTTTTAAATTGACAAACATCACGTGTGTAATTCAGGGCTCAGTCGAAACAGGATCAAAAAATAAGTTGTCTCTCGCCGTTGACCAGGTCCCATGAGTCGGAAGCGAGTGACTCTCGCTGCGTTCACACTGAGAGCGAAGTTATTATTCGCCACGCTGAACTCGCGCGAGTTTGTCATTGCAACGCTCGCCAGGTCCTCTCCAAACAACGCTCCAAAGCCGCCGGTGACGTTTGGACAATCTCACCGCTGACTGGCTTTCAAAACATCGCGTCAAGCGAATTTCTCGCCAAAGTTGAAAAATTTGAACTTGCGCAAACCAGCCAATGTCACGACACCTGAGCAGGTATAAGAATGACCTGTCAGCAGCTGCTTTCTGTGCTGAATGAACGTGTCTCTTCTCTCTCTGCAGGCCTGCGGCGTTGACTTTGAGATCAGAGCTTTCTGTGCCAAGTCGATAGAAGAGAAGATTCACAAGAGGTGAGTTCACACCTGCAGGTTTGTAAGGTTTCTGAGGGTTCAGAGCTGATCTACCGAGGGTCGAGCACCGTGAACAGCTCTCTGCAGCGCCACGAGACTTTGTGCCGTTCACCGAACCTTAAAGCCCAAACTTACCTGCCTCTGATTTTCTTCATCATACATGACAATAAATTGAATTTCTTTAAGGTTCTAGAGTGTTTTTTTTTTAATGTTCCATTAGGGCTGAGAGATATGGGCAAAAATTTTAAATTTCATATAACTGGATGTCGATTTAAAGACTTAAAACTCATTTTTTGGCCATGTATAACATCCAACATTATACCATTGTAGATAAGTCATAAAATATGGAAAAGCATAACAGGTCTGCTTTAACTCACTGCCCATAAATTACTTTTTGTGGTTCGTAACAAGAACGCAGATTGAGAAACAGTCTGGCGCTAATTACGTCAAATAAAAATGACCAATTTGCCAAGGTGGCGGGTAGGATTCCAACGTTTGGCCGCCAAACAGAAGATCCACCCACATTTGGCAGGTGGCGGGTGTTAAATCCCATCCCTGAAGTAGAGATAGGCCCAATCTCAATGTCCCCCCTGAGCCCTGAACCCTCACGGACTTTACTGACGTCTCTTAGAAAGTGATTGAGTTTAAGAGGCTGGAAGGGCTCAAAATGCTGTAAACAGGAACGGGACAGCCCTTTGCCATTTTATCACGTTACCTTGATGACGCTGACACACGTTGAACACTGATTTTTAAGTGCTGCAGGCTCTCGCCCTGCAGAGTGGAGGAGACGTAAATGTCAGATATTTGTCAATAATCATTAATGCACTGTTGTTGGTCAAAACGGCATCATTAAGCAAAAACTAAAATAAATAGTTGAATAAACTTAGTGTGTAATAAGGTGGTTGCTTTCCTTAATCTTCAGTGAAGAAAACTTTCAACCACTTTAACATCAGCGTAGTTTAAGATGGCGGCGAGCGAGGAAATGATGTTGGGCCAGCGTTGGACAGGTGTATGTCTGTTTGCAGGAACTCTGTGCGTCTGGTGATCAGGAAGGTTCAGTACGCTCCAGAGAAGCCCGGTCCTCAGCCGATGGTGGAGACGACACGCAGCTTCCTGATGTCTGACAGATCTCTACACCTGGAGGCCTCTCTGGACAAGGAGGTACACGAACACACCCTTTCCTGGTGTCGGTCTTCGCCCTGTGATCAGCTGCCCAGCTGGTTTGTAACACCGCAGAAGTGCACGGCTGCAGACTGACATCAAAAATCCATATCTCAAAATATTAGAATCAAGAATGGAAAATAAAGAAATGAAGTTGAAAAGTTGTGAATAAGGTTAATTAATGCACTACTGGATCAGTGCGCCGTGGCATGGAGGAGGTCCGCCTGTAGCACTGGGAGGTCTTCAGCCAGTCGAGCTACGGCTGAAACGATTCACCGATTAATTCGATTACTAAAACACGACGTGATTATGATGGCGCTGTTTGCAAAGTGGAGGAAGAGAGAAGAAACGGTGAGCGACGAAGAAGAAAGTGTCCAAAGTCTGGGATTATTTCAAGCTAAAGAAAACAACAACTCTGTAACGTTACCGTCCGTCCACCGTAAAACGGCGCCTGATCAGGAAGCGGCCGGTGTTCTGCCAGCGGACCACAGACAAGCTAACAGCACCTTTAGCGTTTAACTGAAATCATGACTGATTGTTGAGTTGAAGCCAAAGTAAGCCGCAGACCTCAGCTGAAAATGCGCGTTTGTTCTCCGTGAGTTTGGGTTCTAACGTCACAGTTAGGGACGGGTATCGCAACTCGGTACCTTTATGGTATCGAGTAGAACCGAAACGTCTCCAGTCAAACCAGAACGTCACTCGATACGTTTTGTAACCAGATCGCGGCACAAAATGACTGTTTGTCTTGCAGCCGAACAACAAACAGAAAGAAAGGGAAGAGCAGTTAAATACAGTTTATGGTGCAGCCACAAGCTCAGTCCACGCTGATTTTAACAGCCGCTCACCTTCGACTGCGTCTCAGACACCTTCGTCACTGTTTATCAGCACGAGCTCGGCTTTCTCTTGGTTTCATCGTCTGGCATCATTTAACACGTCTCTGTTCCGTCCGTTCCGTCACATCAGTTAAAGCTTTCGTGGCGCTGCAGCGATCAGCTGATTTTCCTGACGGAGCCTCCGGCTGCTTCAGGTGCAGCTGCTTTGATCGGCTGGACGTGCAGCTTCTTAGTGACTTGTTTAAACAGACCGACTCGTTTCATACTCGTGACTGTCGTCTCTTCAGAAGTTTGCGTCTCACCACTTTATGACACACGATGAATTTCTGAAAGGAACACCTATCAACGTGCACAGCTGATCCCAGGGGGCGCCGACGCCGAGCAAAAGCACGTCTTAAACGTTGAAAAATCTGTAGAAGCTTCGAGTACTAAAACCATCGTTAGCTGCAGCCCTAAATCCAGCAGTAACATCATAGTCAGCAAACCGGTCCCTAGTGGTTTTGGCTCTGTGGGCAGGTTCCGGGCTGGTTTGTAGCACCACTAACGTGCACAGCTGCAGACTGTGTGTGCATTTAAATCGAGTACTATACTGCAGTAGACTTTTGAGGTACTACATTAAGGTAAATGTATTTTAACTGCACTCCTTTAATCTGACGGATCCCTCAGTTTACTTTTCAAATTAAGATTTTACATGAAAAACGCTTTTAAATAAAACAAGGGGGGAGTTCACACCTACCTCCTTTAGCTCGAACTGAACTTGCAGGTGTGAAACCAAATGGATGTTTTTTAGCGGATGGTTTGGACTGTCAGACCGGTTACAGGAAGTTTGGTGGTTCCTGTGTAAACCAGAAACAAACAAAAGCGCTGAAACAAGGACACAATTATAAATCTCTCGTGACAGCTCGTCTTTGGAACTGGCCTCGAGTAGAGTTGGTGCTGCAGGTAGTAATAATAACGTGCGTCTGTTCATCTCAACTCTAGTTTTATTCAAGATCAGCTTTATTTACCCCTGAGGGAAATTTGTCTTCAGTATCATGTAAGGCTGAAGTAACAAACTGTCATAAAGTCCGTTCCATACGTTTACATTGCAATGCACAAGTTTCTGAGACACAGATAAAAATCTGAGTAATTTTAAAACCACTGACTGATTTCTGTTCAGTTGAACTTGAGCTCATAAATTAATGAACAATAGAACAAACACTGATAACCACAACCGCAAATTCTAAAAATCTCTCTTAAGATCAAGGATGTTAAAAATCGCTGGTAGTCAAAGGTAAACAACACTTGAAAACAAAGTGCTTGAAGCCAGCTTGTTTTGAGCAGATTGATGCAAAGTTCGTCAACAACAACAGTGAAGGATACAATTAATCAATCTCCAGAAGCTCAAGTCTTTTTATCACTTTTATTTATTTAGTGTTCTGTTGAGACGCGGTTGTTTCAGCTCAGCAGTTTACTGATTGAAGCAGGTTTGGATCCATTTCGTTGTCGTCAAAGCTCCCTGCAGAACTGAAAACGCGCTGATGTCGGACGCACGTGGGTTTACAAACTGACCAGTGTGAAATAAAGGGAGACGCAGCCCACATAGACGATGGCGGGAGGCAAGTCTTTTTAGTGCACTCGTATAACTGCAGTGTGAAACCAAACCGAAGGTATGAAAACATGAACTTCTCACATGTTTCAAATAATCAACGATCCAGAATCTGAAAACAGATTTGTGTTTTCTCCCATTAATCCTCTCACGACCCCTGAGATTTATCTGGGGGGCCTTTTGAAGGGGCCCGACCCCTGGGTTGGGAACCACTGGACTAAACTAAGGGCCGGATTTACTACATCCCGAATATACCGTGTTTTCCGCACTATAGCTGGATTATAAGGCGCACTGTCAATGAATGGTCTATTTTCAAACTTTTTTCATATATAAAGCGCACCGGACTATTAGGCGCATTAAGAGAAACAAAACAGTGAGATAAGTCAGTCAAACTTTATTAAAAAACAGGTGCAGGTACACCGTGAACACGTCACCAGTTCACCACAGAGCACATAGAGACGAACAACCATTCACACGTACGGACAATTTACTGTCACCAGTTCATGCAGATACAGGGATGTGTTCAAATCAAACGTTAGCGTATCACAATAACTCTCAAAATTGTTCAGTTATAACACGTAAAATACAACACACTACACTCTTTCAGCTCATTCCTCGTCCACAAACCCCTCAAATTCTTCATCTTCAGTGTCCGAGTTAAACAGTTGGGCGATCAAGGCGTCCAGCATGCCCGGATCCCTCTCGTCATTATCCGAGTCAGTGTCGTTGCTGTTAGCTGGCAGTTCAGTGATGATTCCGGCCTTCGTGAAAGCTCGGACCACAGTTGAGACTGATTCCTTGGCCCAGGCGTCCACGATCCATTGGCCATCTCGTGTTGTTCCCGCGGAAACTCTGCGTGGTCTTCTTTACTTGGCGCAGGTCATCTTCTTGCTTCCTCCACTTCCGTACCATTGATTCATTAATGTTGAATTCTCTCGCTGCTGCTCTATTCCCGTGTTCTTCTGCGTGAGTGATAGCCTTGAGTTTAAAGGCTGCGTTGTAAGCATGTCTCTTGATGGTGCCATTTTGGGGTCCCACTGTAATATTATGGTGAAGCACAGTAGGCCTACTGTATGTATTACTCCGCGACGCTCATGACTACGAGCGCCGTGTACCACACAAAATCGCTTCGCGGTCATTAAGCACAACTAGTCCATATATAGGGCGCTCCGGATTATAAGGCGCACTGTCGTTTTTTGAAAAAAATAAAGGCTTTTAAGTGCGCCTTGTAGTCTGAAAAATACGGTAGAGTGCTAACGTGTGTTACATGCTAAAATATTGCACGTGTAACTTTTAGTACCTGTTACGGGTGATTTACTAAGAATTATTGCGTGGAAGACAACAGGAGCAAACACAACATCTATATAAAGTCTAATAATGTCAGAATCAGAGATCAGTCACAGGAAACGTTTTACTACACAGCTGTTAATACTTGTGTACTTACCCGCTCGGTCCTGCCTCTTCATGTTTGTCACAGACGGTTCACATCATGTAGTTTTTAAATTAACTGTATCTTTATTTCCCATGGTGCATTGTGTGTAGCTGTATTACCACGGAGAGCCCATCAGCGTCAACGTTCACGTCACCAACAACTCCACCAAGACCGTCAAGAGAGTCAAGATCTCCGGTACGTCTGTCTCTGCTCCTCCTGCTGATGTTTTTAGAAGTTTGAGTCACGTTTGGATTAAAACCTGACCTGATGTTTTTACCTTTTTGCTGTCTGTCTCCGCAGTGCGTCAGTATGCAGACATCTGCCTGTTCAGTACTGCCCAGTATAAATGTCCAGTGGCCCAGCAGGAGGCAGAGTAAGTCCCAGTTTCATGTTTTATGCCGGTTTCACACCGAACTCAAATTTTAATTTCCCGTCGCGTTTCTCACGAATAAACACAACCTTCCATTACTACAGCTGCATGAACCCAAAATAAACATTTTGCTGTGATTTAGTTGCAATAAAGGGATCAAACTGATGCCGAAATAAAGACGACATGATGCTGATTTGTTAAAAATATTAAGCCACGCTTCGTCAGGTCTGTCTGCAAGATGACAAGCAAACAACTTTTAAAATGTTTGTTTTTCGTTTTTTGTACAACGACAGCTGGAATCAAGTAAGGCACATTTTCAGAACTTCTCCCAGCAGCCTCCTGTTGTGTCGCTCTGCATAGATATGAAGTAGTCCCCGAGCTCTGGCAGCGACGGGAACAACAGTGGAAGTCGGAAACGCACGATAGCTCGCTGCTGAGAAACGCAAGTGAAGATAAATCCCATGTTTTAATCCCAAAAATTACAAGTAAAAAGTTAACTTATTAAAAGAAGTTAACTCTGAGCTTCTCTGGCCGTCAAACGGCTCCTTGATCAGAGCAGAATCCGGTCTGACTGCAGGTGTTTGTTAGTCCAAAGCTCTGATTCACCTATCGTGAATCTGCGTTTCGTGAATTTTACTCTCGAGTTGAAGAATTTCAATTTTCAATGAAGTGTTGCAGCGATTTTTCTCTGACCCTCGTCAGTCATTTTCCTCAGTCACATCCTCAATACAACTGTATGGGCAAAGATGGCGGTTATCACGTCCCTCCCGTTAGAAAACCATACGCCTGCTTTTAACAGCCAAGTGGGAAACACATTTCAGCCAATCCTGTGGTTCAACTGATGTAAGCGTCTGTTTTACTTCTACTGCGCATGCAAGTAAAACCGGTCGGGAAAAAACGTTTTTTAAACCTTATTCTGGGGCAAAGTTGTCAAACTCGCGATTTCTATCAGATTTTCGTGCTGATTCTGTTCATGTAGTTTCTATGTCCCGGTGAAAGTGCAGCTCTCTGCACATTCATTCAGATAGGAGCCTGGTTTAGCTGCCAAGATGGCGGCCGAGTGGCAAGACTTGCCTAAAAGGACGTAGCTGTCGTCTCGTGTCTCACTCGTGTGTACCTCACTCGCACTGCTCATCTGATTGCACAGATTTGATTGGCTGAGTAGCATCACCTGAGGTGAACTAACCCTAACACGTGCAAGTGAGTTTCCAGGGCCGCTAAACCAGAGAGCGGTTAAAATAGAAACGCTTTTAAAATTTGAATTTAAATAATTCACAATAATTTATCGGTACGGCTGCGTGTCCACAGACTGTTTACAGAAAGGTGGACGTTGCCACTGTGACGGCCGTCGCCAACCAATGGTTTAAACAAAAGATTAACTAAATTAAAGTGGATATAAACTAGTTTAAATTAATTAGAACCATGTTAAAAGGGGAAGAAAACAGCCAGAGCTTTTCTTGGAAATGATAAACTGGTTTAAAGTGTTTTTAAAATTAGTTTTAACAAGAGAAAAATGGCTTTAAATTGGAGACAAATTGGTCCAAGTGGGTTTAAACTAGTTGAAATTGCTGTTTTAAACTATAAGAGAGGTAAACTGATAAGTGGGTTCAAACTGGTTTAAACCTATTGTAAATGGAAACTAAAGTTAAACTGGATTTAATCTGGTTTCAGTCAGTTTTAAACGTGTTGAAACCAAACAAACTGTTTTTAAATAGCTGGCTACTTAAGTTTACTTTAGCGGGGTCAAACTAGTTTGATGTGGTTTAAACGTAAAAACCCAGAGTCAAACCGAGTGGGCGGGGTTTACCTGAACAGTTTGATTGACAGCGGCATGTCGTCTCCCCAGTGACCAGGTGTCGTCCAGCTCCACCTTCTGTAAGGTGTACACTCTGACCCCGACGCTCGACAAGAACAGAGAGAAGAGAGGACTCGCTCTGGACGGCAAGCTCAAACATGAAGACACCAACCTGGCCTCCTCCACCATGTAACACACACACACACACACAGGTGTGTCATACACAGGTGTGCGGGTGCAGTCACGTGACCACGGCGCTCTGTTGTGTGTTTCAGTGTGAAGGACGTCACCAACAAGGAGGTTCTGGGGATCCTGGTGTCCTACAGAGTCAAAGTCAAGCTGGTGGTTTCACGTGGAGGGTACGAGACACACACACACACACACTGGTGACATCACTTCCTGTCCTCTCAGCCTCGCTGTTTTGTCGATTTTAAACATTTGTGGCTGAGCTGCGCCCACGCGAGCTTTAAAGACGCTGGAAGTCCTAATTCTGTGTTACTTATACTTATCTCCTGGTTTTTAGACCGAAATCCATCAGTTTCTTTCGTCCTGTAAAATATGTTTTTGATGGGTCATCTTGAAATCTGAGGTTACAGAAAGTTTAACCGCTTCCTGTGACGATCCTCGGTCCTTGCTTCACATTACTGGGGAAAAAGATTGTCGTGATTTATCTTTTGGTTATGCTGCAAACAGGATTAGTTTAATCAGGATTCATTTGAGGAGGATTTGTTTCAGAAGGAGCTTTATTGCCAAGTAGTGTTTTACACATACGAGGAATTTGCTTTGTTGATGAGTTGCTACAAACATAAACACATAAATATAAACATAGACGTAAGTAAACGTAGAAATATATAAATATGAAATAAACAGATGCAAGTTATAATAGAAGAATAGAGAAGAATCTTTTACAAGATTATTTAATCGGGATATTTTAAATCAGGATTTGTTCATTTAGAGCTGAAACTTTGTGACTTTAAACCCTTAAATAGTTTTTTCTTCTGACACAACAGAACTTAAACACTCAGCTGTGATTCATCTCTTTGAGCATTTTAAAGAACAGTCTCACAAAGTCCACCTAGTGGCTCCCGGAGCTTTCGCTAATCTCAGTCTTCATCAGCTGTTTGCCCAGTCGTCGTGGAATTATAGACTTTCAGTTGTCTTTGTTTTTAGACTTAGACTAACCTCTTAACATTCCACCGTCCCGCCCGCGGGCCGTCAGGTCCTGGCGGCAGCTTTCGGTCTGTGCACACAGCTTCTATGTTAACTTCATACTCGTATGATCCACCGTTTGAAAGCTAAAATCCTCCTGATTGGACCAACGCAAACCATTTCAAGATACGATCACCACAGCGGGTCCAATTAGCGCCTCTGTCAGACCAGCCGGTACGATCAAAAGTGACGCGACTCCCCTATAAAGCCTCACACTAACTTAATCCACCGATCGATTTATATTCCAACAGAAACGCTGTCAAAGGTCCAGACGATCCAATGCAGTAAAAACATTTAGTCCAGAACACATGATTCCATCAGCAAATCCACAGGGACTCACCGGCAGACGCAGTTCGTACGTCATTATAACCGTAATAACGCCGATTTGAATGTAAACAACTACGATAGCTTGTATTCAGATTAGCCGCTGAACTCTGACCTTTCGACTGACACCAAATCCGACCCAATAGGAGCTCACGTGTCCCTTTCACAGCCTTCAACAGCCAATGAGAGCCCGCGCTGTGAGGAAGGCCCGAGCCGAATGTAACCAATTGCAAGCAACTGTGCCGATGACGGGCGCTTCCTGTAGCCAATAAAATTCTGAAAATAACGACATCCAGCTTTAAGTAGGAAGTTCATGATCTACCAGCAGAAACACGTCTGCGTGGAGCTGCCGGCTGATACGGAGCGACGCAGCCGCCTGCCGCCAGGGGGCGGGGCTGATTTAGGGAAAAAAACGCTGAGACAGACGCTCAAAAAAACCTGTGGGAAACATTTTTCATGGTGTTGGTCTGAAATGTAAACTTGTTCTAGGTGAGGCTTTCTGCTGCGGCCTACAGTGTTTCCAGCTGTAGCTGCATTTGTTAGCAAACATTTTCAAGCGTTAACGTAAAATATATATTAATTTTAGTGTGTTTAAACTTCTATTAATCAGTTCCAGTAGCTCCTACAGTGATTCTGACTCTCCAGAGTGTCTCTTTCAGAGACGCCTGAAACCAGGCAGAGACTCCAGATGGTTCAAGAACCACATTCAGTTTACTTTGGATCTGCCTTGAAGAGGCGTTTAGCATGAATGCTACAGGAATGTTAGGAGGTTAAGGAAGTTTGATTATCTACAACAGCAGTTTGATGAAGTTACACTGATCACAAAGTGTCAGTAGACTCTAAACGACGCTTCAAACCAGATTTAATCACTTTAAATTAAGAGAAAATGCACAGAAACACAAAGAGCTGGAGTTTGGTCTCACATCAGTCCCGAGAGGAAAAGGCCTCAGTTTGATCGAGGGATAAAAAATGAATCTGCAGTTTATCTGAAGTCAGAACTGCAGAAACATCTGCTGCTCATGCGGGATGCTAAACTGAGTTTGAACTGAATTTTCACATTTTATTTACAAACTTTAGGAAAATAACCAGCAGATTGATCAAAACTGAAAATAAAAGTTGCATAAACATTTGGTTTCTTTTTAAATTTGCTTTCGAGCTCAAACTAAATCCTGATCCGACCATCAGTGTTGGTGCAGCTCAGCCTCAACATCCTGTTTCGTCCTCTAACTTCCTGTAGTGTCCGTTAACGGCAGATCCGTCTGCTCGTTGCTGTAGTTGCTCCTCACTGTGCTTGCTCCCTCTGTAGGCTGTGAACCTGTTGACGCCTGCTTTTCATTTCATCTCCCCTCTTGTGTTTTTGGCTTTCTGTGCCCCCCCCCCCCCCTGCAGGCTGCTGCGAGGCATGTTGATGAGGTAAATGTGTCTGATCTGAAGCCGGCGGCACACATGAAGCATGAAAACAGCCTGATTTAATCAAACCGGCCCTGTTTAATGATTTAAACCATGTTTCAACAGCAGATAAATGGCTTTAAATTGGAGGAGAACGTGATTAGAGTGGACGTTTCGATGTGTTTAAACCTCTGAGCCCTGAACCGGCTATAAACAAGGGCTTTGTGTTGAAGTGGTGGAGGGACATCAGGGCTCAGATTAGGGTCGACGAGAAGATATGTTAACACTGATGTGAAGAAATAATCAAAGCTGAAATATATGAAGGGGTATTAAACACTTAATTTCCTGCATTCTGGAGAAATTTTCTGCACTCATTTAAGGTGGAAATGTCTGTTTTTATATAAAAGGGAAACAAAATTCAGGTGGCAGGTGACAATCCAAAATATGAAAGTATAATTAAATATAATGCAGCAATCAGCAGTTTGGCTTTTTAGCTTGAGATGCTTGTTTTGGACAATGCACATTTGTTTCTTTTATATTTAAATTGCTTTTGCATGTTTTCTTAATCGTGTTTCTCAAAGCGTTTTCATTTATTTTGTTTTTCAGAACATCTTTATTACGTTTTATTTTATTACGTACGCTTTTAAAACAGTGACGCAGAGACAAAATCAGCCATTTCAAAAAATGATCGGGGCATCGCCAGGGCGACGCCTACAGCTGCAGCATGTATTCCTTCAGGTCAAAATGGCGTTCACAGGAAGAGCTTCTTGTTGACAGTGACGGGCTCAGATATCACTTGGGCAGCTTTAAGTCGCCCCCTGCTGGCCGCTAGAGAGGACGCAGGTTTAAGTCGCCCCCTGCTGGCCGCTGGAGAGGACGCAGGTTTAAGTCGCCCCCTGCTGGCTGCTAGAGAGGACGCAGGTTTAAGTCGCCCCCTGCTGGCTGCTGGAGAGGACGCAGGTTTAAGTCGCCCCCTGCTGGCTGCTAGAGAGGACGCAGGTTTAAGTCGCCCCCTGCTGGCTGTTAGAGAGGACGCAGGTTTAAGTCGCCCCCTGCTGGCCGCTAGAGAGGACGCAGGTTTAAGTCGCCCCCTGCTGGCTGCTAGAGAGGACGCAGGTTTAAGTCGCCCCCTGCTGGCTGTTAGAGAGGACGCAGGTTTAAGTCGCCCCCTGCTGGCTGTTAGAGAGGACGCAGGTTTAAGTCGCCCCCTGCTGGCTGCTGGAGAGGACGCAGGTTTAAGTCGCCCCCTGCTGGCTGTTAGAGAGGACGCAGGTTTAAGTCGCCCCCTGCTGGCTGTTAGAGAGGACGCAGGTTTAAGGCGCCCCCTGCTGGCTGCTAGAGAGGACGCAGGTTTAAGTCGCCCCCTGCTGGCTGCTAGAGAGGACGCAGGTTTAAGGCGCCCCCTGCTGGCTGTTAGAGAGGACGCAGGTTTAAGGCGCCCCCTGCTGGCTGTTAGAGAGGACGCAGGTTTAAGTCGCCCCCTGCTGGCTGTTAGAGAGGACGCAGGTTTAAGTCGCCCCCTGCTGGCCGCTAGAGAGGACGCAGGTTTAAGTCGCCCCCTGCTGGCCGCTAGAGAGGACGCAGGTTTAAGTCGCCCCCTGCTGGCCGCTGGAGAGGACGCAGGTTTAAGTCGCCCCCTGCTGGCCGCTGGAGAGGATGCAGGTTTAAGTCGCCCCCTGCTGGCCGCTGGAGAGGACGCAGGTTTAAGGCGCTTAGCATTGGTTAAAAACAAAGGGGGTCACCCGGAGTCCCTCGTAGGGATGCTTTTCATGATGTTGTCCCTCACATGGTGAAACAGTCTGTCTGTCCTCACCAAGCAGCTCTTTTTGTGGACGCCATCTACTGCACGGATTCAAAACTCTTTGTACCTACAAGTCACTTAAACGCCAACAAATGTGAGAACAGAGCCCAGATTTAAACACACAGAAGTTCCTTTAACCCGGATTAAAATAAGAGTCTTGCTTCAGTGATATCCCTGTTTTCTGATCAGCTGTTTTAATTTACTCTTCCTCATGTAAACCCGTCGTCTCAACACATTCAGCATGCGTCCATTAATTCCATCCTTCCCAGAGCAGTGTGCTGCCCTGTGTCTCTGTGCACTGCTCTTGTTGAACACTGAGGGCGGAGAGGTGACGACCTGCTGTCGCTTGTGTTTCAGAGACGTGTCGGTGGAGCTGCCCTTCATCTTAATGCATCCTAAACCCGTGGAGCCGCCGCAGTCCTGCCCGCAGTCAGGTGAGGTCACACTATGCGCATCACATTCAGTGTATCATCCACTACAGCAGCAAAACCATGAACAAACAGAAGAGAGGAGGTTTTAAATGGTGACGTGGTGACGTGAAAGAAGTATTCAGACGCTTTATTTAACGTCGAACTCAAGTATTTTTCAGCCCTGCGTTCCCATGGTTTTGTGACGAATTGGGACGTTTTTTGTAATTGGTCCAGTATTTCCCCTCACAGAACTCTGGAGCTGCTGGTCGACCTGCTGCCTCGGTCCGTTTTGTTTGTGTTATTGTGTGTTGGTTAAAAACACGAACGTAACACGATAATGCAGACTAATTGATCGAGGCAGCTTGATTATTTGTGCCCTACGCAGGAGTATAGATCAGGCTTAAAGGCCCAAAAAATGCAAATTCACTGATTTTTCCTGCTAATAAAAATTTCTGTGCACCACCTGAGTCTAATCTGTACATCACATTATGTTAACTGTTCAGTGACACAGTGTCGTGCTGCTCTTTCTCTTCCTGCTGAAAGCTGCATTTTCAGGCCACTGGGAATTTTGGGTTTGAGTTTTGACCCTTTGGGATTGCTGTAGCTGGTCAGTGTGGAGCGCAGAAGCAGCAGCTCTTTTTTAGTTCACACAGAGCTCAGGAAACATGTGGACTTTAAGTATTTGCACAGTGTGTCACTCAGGATGTTCAGCGTATGAAGCGAAATGCGATGCTAATCTCCATTAGCACTTTAATGGAGATTCCCATTATATGTTAGCATTGAGCTAACGGTCAAAGTGCTTTTTTTTAAAAAATGTATCGATATGATGGGCTGGAGTATCAATACAGTTTGTATAATGATATATCGCTGTATGGATTTATTGGCAGAGTCTTACCAGAGGACAGAGTGGCAGAAACCAGCTCTTTAGCGGACGCGCTTTGATGGAAAGGTCACGATGCAGCTCGCAACCAATTTCAAAACGTCCCAAATCCATGGGAAAATAGGGTCCAGGTTGAAAAATACTGTAATAAAAGTACTAATTCTATGTCCTCATTCATCATCCGTCATGAATGTAAAGCTGGATGCTGCTGCTGTAGTTGTTGAGCTCATTCTGGACGAGCTGTCAGCCTGTTTCCATGGAAACAACAGTGTGACCTGCTGATGTGTGTGTGTGTGTTTCAGCCGTGCCAGAGATGGACCCCCCCATCGACACCAATTTGATAGAATTCGAAACAAAGTGAGTATCTCGTCTTCGGACAACCGTTATTTTATTTATTTACAAACATTCACAAACAGACTTTTCCCCAGCGTTCACGTCTCGTCGCAGCGGCGGGGACACGCTCCACCTATCGGCTTAACTCTGTGTTCAGACCAGGCGCGAATTTAACCCCGACAACGCTGGACTGAGTGTTCGCACGCAACGCCAATAAACACAACCTGCCGTTTCTACCCGAAGTAAACATTTTGCTCAAACTGCTGCTGAAACGACGACGACGTGATGCAGATTTGTTAATTTGTTGATGCTTTGTCAGGATATAACTTGTGTGATGTAAAGTACAACGACAGCTGGAATAAAGTTAGACGCACATTTTCTGAACTCAGCAGGTAGTTCAACCTCCTCGCTTTGTATTCTCCAAGTAACGTCCGGTTCCGTCTGGTTTTTATAGAAGTATGAAGTCGTAGTCCAGCAGAACAGTGAAGATAAATCATAAAGCTAATTTAATAAAAGCAGTTTACTCTGAGCTCCTCCCGCGGGTAAACGGCGAAGTGTTATCGAATGATATGAAATGTTTTTATCGTGATAACGTTTGTGGCCATATCGCCCGGCTCTAGTGTTGCTATGAAATGTAAACTAAGACTACAGGAAAGGCTTTACGCTGCGTCCCAGCTGGCTGTGTGCATTTGTTAGAAAACATTTTCAAGCGTGTATATTTTAGTTTTAGTGTGTTTAAACTTCTATTAATCAGACTCTCCAGAGTGTCTCTTTCAGAGACGCCTGAAACCAGGCAGAGACTCCAGATGGTTCAAGAACCACATTCAGTTTACTTTGGATCTGCCTTGAAGAGGCGTTTAGCATGAATGCTACAGGAAGTTGTTGACGTTGTCCAGTGACGTCGCTCGACCTTACTGCGGATACAGCGATTTACTCTGCGAGTTGTTTCTTTATAGGTCTTAAATTTCATTCTGAGTGTCGGTGAAACCTGCAGAAACGCTGCGTGAGACGTTCACAGGAAGGAACTCTGAGAGGCGTTCAGAGTTGTCTTGAACGCAGCGTTAGATGGCGAACGGCGACGTGAACTGACCGCAGACACTCGGATATCAGAACCCCGACGTCCTGGTTTCACTGAATTAACTCTCTCTCTCTCTCTCCGTCCTCGCAGCAGCATCTCCCAGGACGACGACTTCGTCTTCGAGGACTTCGCCCGCCTGCGACTCAAAGGCGCCGTGGACGACAAGGACGAGGACTGCTAGGAGCTCGCCAACCTTCATACGCTCGCTTCGAAACCACCTCACACACAGAAACACACACACACACACTCTTCACGTTACATTCCCCCGGCGGAGGGGATGGATGAGGGCATGTCTGGACGGAGGCCTCGCAGGGCGCTCGCTGGTGTTCTTCCTCTCTTGCTTCAGCCATTTCGTCATGTCGCCGCCGCCATTTTTCACCGCCGTCTCTCTCTGTTTGTCTTTTTTTGCTGAAGAAACTATAAATGTTAAGCAGCTGCAGGACAGATGTTGGCGGCGTGGATCTGCTGTTTCTTCCTCTGTAGTCAGGACGTTCGGATGTGTGGGCGGGGCTTGTGAAACACCGCGGCGGTTTGAGGAAACAAAAAATAAACCCGCGTAGGAAGTTGAAGCTCTTTTACTTTGACCATCACCGTCTTGTACAAACAAAATATATATTTGAAACAGAAAAGAGAAAATAAAATCTTGTACGAGCGGTCGGGATGCGTGTTCGGTGGCGAGCGCCGTTGTTTTCTCCAAGTAAACGCTGTAGATGCTTTTTGTTTTGTTTTTTTACATCGCGGCTGGCAGCGGAGGAAACGCAGCAGTCTCACACATCAGGCGGCTGAAGTTGGATTTCACCAGCATCTCCCGCTCTCGTCACGCTCCGTCGTCCTTTTTGTAAAAAAAAAAAACAAACAAAAAAAAACATTCCAGCGTCGACGGATTTGTTTCTGTTTTTTTTTCCCTGTCTGTCGCGTCCTCCTGAAGACGTAAATCTGGTCACACCTCACGCTGTGGTTTTACTTTGCGAGGCTGACCCTGGAAGTCCGGAGCGTTTTGTGTTTGCGGGACATTATTTTTTATTCCTGTCGGTTAAAATAAATCCTGTACGTGACGTGAGCGGAATTTAAAAACTGTTATGTCCCACGAAAAAGACCAACCGCCAACAACCTGTTTCACATTTCAGGTGAAAGGTCGTGCCGGTGCAAAGCGAAGTCTTATTATATGTTAGTCTTTTTAAAACAAAGGGAAGTAGTTTGTTAGTGTAACACAGAACAGAGGAATAAGCTACATCAGACTTCGACACCGACGCCACTCGTTTGATCTGTGAGACTAATCTAGCTCAGCAGGTGAAATCACTCATTTAATTCTTCGTCGTCTTCACTTTGCTAACGATGTTTCTGTCAGATGGAGCCTCAGAGCTACAAAGATGTCGACTTTCCTCCTCTTCTTCTTTTTAAAACGCCGACGCCTTTACGCCTGAGCACAAACTCGGATCACGCTGGAATCGTTTTTTTGTTGTTTTTTTTTTTGTTTTTTTTAAACTCTCGAGTCATTTGGATACATTTTGAGATTTGACCTCTGTTCTGAAACGCGGCGTCGCTCGAGTTGTTTCTTGAGTTGAGGTGCTTTAAAACGGACGCTGACCTCGATCTGGCTCGTTAAAGGGAAACACTGGTGGTTTTTTATAATCCTCCTCCCACCAACTGACCCAGACGCTCTTTGAGCCGATATCCATTCTTGATCTCTCCGTTGCCAACAGGACGGTTTCTTTGCCAACCACTTTGTTGTTTTTGTTGTTGTTGATTTTTGGGGCTAAATACAACAGAATTTGCAGCATTTTCATTTCGATTTGTGACTTTTTGTGTTGCTCAGCAGTAAGTTGTAGAAAAAAGTAACTGCTGCTGTTTGATCTTTCCAAAGATTTTTATATTGGAGATGATTCCCAGGTTGTGTGCAGGACAGCAGACTGTATTTAAAACAACTTAGTAAATAAAAACACACTGTCAACCATCTGATTTAAATTACTGTATAATATTCATAATTCTTATCCCATCAGTTGACCCAAATGCTTTTTCAGCCAGTGTATATAAAATAAGCACATTCCTGACCTCATGACACTGTCTGGTAACTGCCTTCTTTTTTTTCAGTGAATTTTTTGTGGCTAAAAACAGAATTTGTGACTTTTTTTTTTTACTTTTAAATTTAAATTACAGAAATCGTACTCAAAACCAAATTCTTAGACATAATTTCACTGGTTTAATGTCAAAATGAGTTTAATTTCAAAAAGAAGAGTAAACTGTATTTAAACTTTTTTTTTTTTTTTAAACTGAAAATATCAGAATCATTTTAAGATTTTCCTGTAAAATTCATAGTTTGTGCCCTGAATTCTGACTGTCAGGCAGAGTAGCTGTTCACACGTGACCTAAATATGGAATTGGAAATCCTTCGGTCACGTGACCACAACTTAAACCATCTCCATGACAACTGAGCTACTCAATCCAGCGAAGAAGGCCATGAGATGTTTGAAAGCCTCGGAAACGATGAACAAATTTTTTACTTGTGACTTATGAAAAAAATGTAACTGTTTTTTAGTTTTGTCTGCCTTTTAATTTATTCCTGAAACATTACGCCTGTCACCCCTAAAATTACGGTTTGTTTATTGTCCTTGTTTTATCCTAAAATCGTTGGCTTTTATTCAACTTTTTGTAGAATTTTTTTATCACTTGAGATATTTCGACTTAATTCTTAAAAATCTGATTTTTTGTTTTCTCATATTGGCGCTAATTCTCTTTAAGCTTGATACCATGTGACGTAGAAATTACCATGACAAGTTTCCTAAAATGTTACAACTTTATTCTCAATAATTGAACTTTATTGCTGCAATATCACAACTTTTTTCCCTCAAAAATACTATTTTATTGTCAATGTTTTTGTCATAAAATTATGACCAAATTAACAATCTTAAATCTTTGAGGTTTAACTTGTAATTCTGTGAGATTTAAGTCACAATAATAAACCCCGCCCTCCTCCTCATTTATGGTCAACGGATAAAACGTAGAAAAGACCACATTTCCATAATATTAAGACTTCACCACTATATTCTTAAAATTTGACTTTATTTCAGTGCCATTAACCTTTTTCCTTTTGAGGTGTATCAAACTAATTAGTACAAATAACCAGTTAATCTTGTAATATTATGATCAAAATTACTATTTTATAGTCAATGGTTGGCTTTTTATATATATAATTCTGACAAGTCATTGAGATTTAGATTTAAGTCACAGTAACGCCGCCCTCCTCCTCCTCTTAAGGTCAACGCCATGTGACAAAATGGCACAAATAACTTAAGTTACTTTGTGATTTTTTTTTCCCCCCTGAAATTACTGTTTTATTCTCAATGTTTGGCCTTTTTTCTCATAAAATTGTGACAATTCGACTTATATCTTGAGATTTAAGTCACAATAAGTGTTTTTAACTCTAAAAAAAAAAATCTGGTCATTTATACTGTTTTGTACGAGGAAAGAAAAGTTATTCTTGTAACTTTATGTATTTATTCCTGAAATATTGCAGTTTTTTCTCAGTGTTTTGCCTTTTTGTTGTAAAATTCTCAATTAACAACTTAAATCTTTGTTGTTTCGAGAACAAAGTTATGACGCGTGAGATTCTGTTTTTGCTATTTTCGGCCGATTAATTTCGGTGGCCGAACATTCGGTTCATCCTCACTAACCAGTTAACTTTTTCTCAAAACTACTTTTCCTCAATGTTTAGTCTGTTTTTCTCATAAAATTGTGACAAATGACAAGAATTTAGCAATTACGACTTAAATCTTTGGGATTTAGTCGTAGTGTTTTTGAGAACGAAGTTGTGCTGTTGTGAGATTTAAGTCTCAATAATTATCCTGTTTTTGAGTTCGATGCCACGTGACAAACACAAAGTGCCAGGAAAAACTTTCCAGCCACTGAAATCAGTAAAATGATTTAAAATAAATCGCACCAGTGTTTCCCTTCACATCTTCTCCCGACCGACATCCGTATTTTAAAAAATGTTATTTGCATTATTCAAACTCAAAGCTCGGGTGTTCGCTCCTCTGCTTCCACTCTTTACGCTGCTTTCCAACATCCGTCACACGGCATCGGCGACTTCGAATTTGTGTCTTTAAAATGAAGTTTTGTTTTATTTTGTCCAGAAAACCTGCACAGATCAACATTTCACACGACACACAGGAGCACTGCACTTTCATCGGACAACACAAACCTGCGCACGTCATCGTTTCATTTTTGCTTACAGACGAAGAAGAATGTTTTGTTTGTTTTTAAAGTCGTGGCCATTTTTAGAAATTGTTCGTTGTGTTTTTCGACAAAGTTTCGAGTTTCACACAAACCAGCAAACTTTTATTTTATTTTACTAAAACTGCCAAAATTCCTGCACTTCCTCTTTCGCTCAGTCATTGAAGCTGCGACCCTGAAGAAGAAGAAGAAGAAGAAGAAGAAGAAGCCGACACGGAGCATGTTTTAAATTTTTTATTTAATTACATTTTGTTTCTCCTCCAAAGCAGTGCTGTGAATCGTACGAGCTGTGATTCTGTCCTTATTTTGTCGTGCATATGTGGGGTAACTCTGCTAAGTGTGAAAATATTTGGACAAGTGCCACGCCCTGGCCTGTGCGATGCTTACCATAATGTCTATAAAACATGAAGTGATTTCTGCTGGTGGGACGAACACCAGAAAAGAGAGAATTATGATTATTATGCTTCTGATTATTATTATTATTATTATTATGGTGACTTATTATCACTTCTACTGTATCATTGCGACCATGATTATTCTCATAATCATTTAAGAGTCTATTATTTTGCCATGTATTTTTTTTTTGAGATTTTTATTTTAGGTTTCTTTTTATTATTAAAGGCAAAATGAACTAACAGATTCGGCTGTCGCGTGCTGCTTCTACTGTTTTTCTTTTTGTTCTCCACCAGGCTGTTGTCATTTTAAATTTACATTGTGTTTTTGTCTTGAAATCATTGGACGCTTTGTGACGATGAACTCGCGACAACAGCGTAAAGCTCTGCGAAGAATAAATCACTTTATTTACAGTTAATGTTCTGCTAAAAGGATTAAACATCTGTCAGACAGCAACACTTCGTAGTAAAGATGAAACCACGTCATCAAAATATTTGTGTATACATGTACTTTGTAGTGCGGTACATTTATTTGAGCGCCCTCTTGTTTTGCTGTTTTACAGCTTGTGGCCTGACTTTTAGCAGGAACTTTTCAATTCCAGCATCTTTGACTCTCACATGTCTATCGCTGAATTTTGCACCTTCGTGGTGAAAATGTACAGGTCCAAAAAACTTGCTCAAAACTACCAAACATTTACTAATTTGTGCATCTACATGTTTCCACAAAGGCGTCCAGAGGGCGCCTGATTTTAAATCTGACGCCACATAAAAAAATACTAATGTATGCGTGAAAATAACAGATTTATAGATATAAGCTACTGATTACTGCATTACATTCGATTATATTCTTAGATTATTTGTCACCTGCCACCTACATTTGTCCCTTTTATATAAAGACATTTCCACCGTAAATCGGTGCAGAAAATGGCCCCAGAATGCAGGAAATTCAGTGTTTATTGGCCAGATCTTCTGGGGGAGGAGCCCCACGCCCCCCTATCGAATATTTCATCAAATATTTTTTAGCTGAATTCAAAATCATTAAGCTGATTTAACATCGAGGTGAAAAGGTTCCATATGCACATCTAAAAAGACTTTAGACGTCGTATCTGACAGCAACACTGCATTATATTACACTTATTTTGAATTTTCACCTCAGACATTTCCTCAATTTCCTGCATCCTGGTGATTTATGTTTGCACCAATTTATTAAGTGTTTACAGTCTTCAGGGGGAGGAGCCCCACACGCCCCGAGTTAATATTATCAGTGTTAATTATTACCAGTAGTGTTGCTTTATAGACGTACTTCAGGTTGGCAGCAACGGGGGGGGGGGGGCATGAGAAAATACTGGGCTAAGCCCCCAATGTTTCAAGAGCCTGGAGACGCCCCTGGACATATCTAACCATGCGTCCGGCCGTGTCGAGGCCTCGTGAGACGGCCGTACCACGTGACTGATTCAGGAAATGGTTGGCGGGTGAATTTGAAAGGAGCAGCAAAATGCAACTTTTGAACTGAACACAGATTGTTTCTACAGCTTATTTTAAACGACTAAAATATTTGATCAACTTCTGTCAGACTTGCTTTGATCAAATAATTAGTGATGAAATAGATTTTAGCTGATTAAAACTAGCAGCAGCAAGAAAGTGTTGAATTTTTTTGTTGTTGACATGGTGTTATTTTGGGGGGGCTCTTACCCCATATTACCCCTAACAATAATTTTCTAAAGCAGGTAAAGTCCTCTCCAAAAAAAGAAACCCTGGTGCCTTTATTGTCCACTTGATGGCTCACTAGAGGAAATGAAGCACCGTGAAGCTTCGGCCCACGAGTGAACCAGTTGGAAAGCTTCAATCGAGGCTTCGTGAAGCTTCGTCTCGCCGTCAGACGTATCCGAGACTGATAACCACCAAAGCAATGAAAAAAAAGCAGAACGAAAAATAATGTCAGATGATTTAATAGTTTTTTTTGTGCATGTACATTTTAGCCACGAAGATGTTCAGAAGGTGCAGAATGAGGTTTAAATTTAGATTTTTACACAAAACAGATGTTATAAAATGTTAAAGGTTGAACAACCCAAATATTTCAATAATCAGTCGTCGTTTTCCCTGTAAAAACATTTCAGTACTTTTTCTTGTTAGTATTTTTACAGTGTGGTATTTTGTGCTTGTACTTCCTGCAGTACGTGTGGAACCTGCTGAGAAAGAACAGACTCTGGGTTTATGTGAATGCAGTTTATTGTAAATCATTCCTGGTCGTACTGGTCGACTCCCGGTGGGAACATTAGGGGATATTAAAAAGGTGGCGTTTTTATTTCAGTCACGCCGTCATAAAGCGTCGTAGTCGTCGTCGTCTTCGTGCTTCCTCTTCAGCGACTCCCCGCCGGAGTTCTGCAGCACCATGTTGGTGGTGATGAGGATGTTCTTGGAGCCGATCACAGACGGGTTGATGAGGACGTTGGAGACGGGCGTGGACGGCGTGGCTGTCGGGACGAGAAGAGCAGCAGAGGGTTAAACTTCCTGAATGAAGCGTCTCAGGCCGATTAAATAAATCAAAACATCTTGAAACATTGTGGTTTAAGAGTAAAAGTATTTTATTTACAGTTTTACACACTTTGTACTTTGTAACTTGGTGTATTTGCTACTGATTTTGCCAGTTGTTGGTTTTAGAGGTATTTGTACTCTTGAGTACTTTTTTTTTTTATTTTCTTTCTCCTCCTCAGATCTTGTACTTTTTACTTTTCTACATTTATCTGACGGCTTCAGTTACTTTACAAAGTCAGATTTTTACATAAAATGTGATGTTTGTTATAAATTATAAACATTTTATATAAGAACAGCCGACAGGTTCGTTAACTAGTTTTCATGTACAAACATTTAATGGTGATTTGCTGCTTTTCATTTATCTGTAATAATAATTTTGAGCTTTGTACAAAAACAAACATGAAGACAAAAAAAAAAAAAAAAATCAGCAGATTGATCCAGAATGAAAATAATTATAAGCTGCTGTCAAAATAGTTCAAATTAAGGACGCACCGAACGTTCGGACGAAAATAGAAAAAAACAAAACAACAAACAGCACTTTCGGTGTTTGGCGGAGAAAATTTATTTTACTGAACAATCCTGTTGACACGTCGACCAAAAATGTTCATATCGGTGAATCCCGAGTAGTAAAATAATAAGTAATAAATATCTAACAGTACAAGAGGACATTTTTCATTCTGCGTCCAGTAATTTTAATACTCTAAGTACATTTTCCAGATTACACTAAACATACTTTTACTTAAGTAACATTTTCAATGCAGTAATTTTACTTGTAACAGAGGAGATATGTTCATCACTGACACCAACGTATCTGAGTTTTTACTGAAACGCCTTTATAATCTTGAATACATGGAAAGTTCTGTTTGTCAGCAACTTCTGACAAACTACTGTAATAGTACTTTTAAGTACTTTTGATACTTCAGCACTTTGACTTTAGTAGAAATATAAATTGCAGACTTGTGCTCGTAGTGGAGTAAGTAAAAGTACAGGATGTGTGGAGAAAGATTTAATGTTTAAACACTTTGCTGTCAGACTTAAATAAGCAGCTGGGAGGGAGCGGGTTCTTACTGGTTTTGGTGGTGGCGGTCTGAGAGGCCGGTGGGATCTGCACGGTGAACCTCTGACCCGTCAGCGACACCGGAGCTCCGACTTTGGTGGCGACGGACTGGACAGACGGCGTTCCTGCGGAGGAAACACGAGGTCACAACAGGCAGACAAAAAAATCACTCGGTCCACATGAAGGATCCGGGTTTTAAAGGACTGGATCTAAAGTCTCGCATGAAATGAGTCAAACATCATGTAAGAGATGTGCGGTTATGTTTAGCAGCACAGGCGGTTTTATGTTTCGTCATCGTGAACTCAATAAAACACTAAACTAATAGGACACAAAGAATCGATGCTCCAGAGGTGAGCGTGGGTAACCCATCATTTCTTAATCCCAGTCACACGCTGCAGCCCCGACTGACGATGATGAAGTACGACACGCAGCCGCTGCAGCTAACGCAGGTTTATCAAACAAACACGACGTTCTTCCACTCTGTAGGAGTTTCACAAAGTGCGTGATATTTCTGAGGATCCACATCAGAACCATAACGGTGTGTAACTGGTGTGTAACTGGTGTGTGGTGACTGACTCACCGAGGGTCGGCGTGCTCGGTCTGCTGGACACGGCGCCCACGCTGAGGCGAGGCACAGATATCCTGCTGGCAGACGACGACACCTGGGAGGAAAAGATAACGAGTTGTTTTGGGGACAAAAAGTCAAACTTCACAAAATAAAAAACGTGCAACAAAAGGTTTTGTTTTACCTTCTTCTGTACGGACTTGAGTCTGTAGTTGGGCGCCGTCAGACAGTAGCGGTCCGGGGGGAGCCGAGGTCCTGTGTAGGGTTTGATGAGCGGGAGGGGCGTCTGGTTCTTCTGCCTCGCAACCTCCAACAGGAACTGAACACAGCAGAGCCGGAGAGCCGGGTCAGAAAACAGAACAGAGCTGCTTTAACCTCTTCACGTGGTCGTGGCGGCGGCTTTCTGTCTGTGCACACGGCTGCCACGTTAACTTCAAACTCGTATGATCCACCGTCTGAAAGCTAAAATCCTCCTGATTCAACCAACGCAAACCATTTCAAGCCTCTGTCAGACAGCCGGTACGATGAAAAGCGACGCGACTCTGAAGCCTCACAGTAACTTAATCCACCGACCGAAACGCTCTTATTGTCAAAGCTCCACACGATCCAATCCAGTAAAAACATTTAGTCCATCAGGAAATCCAGAGCGACGCAGCAGCAGCCGCCGCCTGCCGCCAGGGGGCGGGGCTGTTTCAGACAAAACACGCCAGGACCCTCAGAAAACCCTGCGGGAAATCATTCTTCATGGTGTTGGTCTGAAATGTAAACTTGGACGAGGAAACGCTTCCTGCCAGCTGCACTGGTTAACCAACATTTTCAAGTGGAAATGAAAAATATATATTAGTTTTAGTGTTTAAACTTCTTCTATTAATCAATTAACTCCAGAGTTTCTTTCAGAGACTCCAGATGGTTCAAGGTTTACTTTGGATCTTGGCGTTCAGCATGACTGTTGGGAGGTTAACACATCTCCAGGCTGGTCGCTCCGCTCTCACACCGTGACGCATCTTACTTGTTCTCAGGTAAGGACTGCTAGCCAATCAGAAGCAGAGAAGGGCGGCTCGTAAGAAACAAGGTAGTGTGATCCAAATCAAAGCCGCTTCAGACTGAGACCGTAACAGATGGTAGAAGTTACTCTCAGGTCCACGACCACACGTCAGAGCGCAGGCTTCCCCCGCCGCCACCTGCGCAGCTCAACTCCCAAAATATTCATCACATTTCTGTTCCACCGTCACTTCTGGTAAAACTGTCAATATTCTAAATCTACACAGCTGATTTCACCTCAAAACTTCTCACAAGTGGATTTAGTGATGAAATAACATGTGAAACCTGTAAAATATAAACTTCCTGTTGCGTCTGTCTGCTGCAGCGATGATGATGCAGTGAATACTGAATATTCTCTCTGACCAATCAGCAGCCTGTCCTGTTTTCACGTCACATTTTAGTTTCCCTCAGCTCGCTTTACGGAGGAGAGGCGATACAAAAACAGTACCTGTATTTCTACCATGGAAACCAAACAGAGGCGAGTGGAGCCAAAGGGCCTCGGCGCAGACTAGCTTGGTTTGAGGGGTCTGACCCCGCCAGCCGCTTGGCGAGCTTTGTGACGTCACAACTAAAGGAAGTGAAGCGGCTGGACTACAAACCAGCTGTTTTCAGAGCAGAGCTTTCTGTGGAGGTGGGAACTCCTTTGGGCTTTTTCACCCAGCAAACCTGTTACAGCACACAGAAGAGATAAACTCTATAAAGGAGACGGGAAAAGCCAAAAAGCAGAACACCTCCTCTTTAAAACACCCGACTTCACAGCAGAAATAATCAGGTTTACAGCCTGGTTTTGATCTCTGTCGCCGATTCCCCGTTCATGACACCTGTGTGGAGTGAATTTATATTTATAACGCAGCCGTTTAAATGACATTAAGGCTTGATATAGTTTATATGTGGTGCATGTTAAGGACCAGCTAAACGTGTAAACCACTTCTCTGACAGAACAATCCTCTGACGGGTTCATTTCTTTTCATATTCCCAAATCAGGGATCGTAGCGGCAGAGAACTAATATGAAACTAAATTCACACAGGACGTCGTGTTTAATCAAGATGGTTGGTTTTCAGCTGAATGGATGTTTTGCTGCTCCAGACTAATGTCTGAAAGAAGCAGCGGGTTCATCCTGTAACAAACCGCTGCAGCGCGCTCTGGACTTTTAACTGAATGAATGAAACACCGTCTGCTTGTAACTCCAGTGTGTGAAGAGTGTAAACACAGGTGTGAGGGCGGCGGACGCTTACGTCTCGAGGTGGCGGCGAGGTGAACGACTGGTCCATGCGGCACTGGATGGCCAGCTTGATGTCGTCCGCGTCCACGCTGGACTTCTTGGCGTGTGTGGCGTAGATTTTGGCGTCCTCGATGATGGTCGTCACGTATCCTGCGGACACAAACGGAGTGTTGGTGATACTGTTGATGAAAAATCTCAAACGTTAAATGTGTAAAAACACAAGCAGCTTCAAAACGGCTACATTATTTTAAACACAGTCCGAGTACGTTCATCTGACGGAGGCTGAAAGCCGCCAACGATCATCTTTGTTCTTCCTCAGGCGTTAATTCAATTTAAAACAAAGAGCGTCTGCAGGGTCAGATTAGGGCCGGCCATCAGGAACCGTGTGGATCCTGCTCCGTCCATCAAAACTCGCCAGGATTTAGTCTTCGCTCCTCTTTTGTCATGTTCACAGGGACAGAAGCTGCTGCACGCTTTGAGGTCACGTTATCATCAGCATTGTTTATTCTTACTTAAAGATGCTAATAAATCTTTCTCAAAGCACTTTCAGCAGTTCTTTGTCATTTCGTGCTGCTCAAGTAAAGTAAAGCATTTTAAATAACAGATGCCGACACGTTTCATCCTGTTGACGTGAGCCTCTGTTACATCCGGGTTGCTGCTCGGAACAGTTAGCAGCCGCCCTACTCTGCATCAGAGGCGTCCCCTCCGGGACAGAGGCAGCCCCCTCCGGGACAGAGGCAGCCCCCTCCGGGACAGAGGCAGCCCCCTCCGGGACAGAGACGCCCCCACCGGGACAGAGGCAGCCCCCTCCGGGACAGAGGCAGCCCCCTCCGGGACAGAGGCAGCCCCCTCCGGGACAGAGGCAGCCCCCTCCGGGACAGAGACGCCCCCACCGGGACAGAGACGCCCCCACCGGGACAGAGACGCCCCCTCCTCCAGGACAGAGACGCCCCCTCCTCCAGGACAGAGACGCCCCCTCCGGGACAGAGGCAGCCCCCTCCGGGACAGAGGCAGCCCCCACCGGGACAGAGGCAGCCCCCTCCGGGACAGAGGCAGCCCCCTCCGGGACAGAGACGCCCCCACCGGGACAGAGACGCCCCCTCCGGGACAGAGGCAGCCCCCTCCAGGACAGAGACGCCCCCTCCTCCAGGACAGAGACGCCCCCTCCGGGACAGAGGCAGCCCCCTCCGGGACAGAGGCAGCCCCCACCGGGACAGAGGCAGCCCCCACCGGGACAGAGGCAGCCCCCTCCGGGACAGAGGCGCCCCCTCCGGGACAGAGGCGCCCCCTCCGGGACAGAGACGCCCCCTCCGGGACAGAGGCCCCTCCTCCGGGACAGAGGCAGCCCCCTCCAGGACAGAGGCGCCCCCTCCTCCAGGACAGAGACGCCCCCTCCTCCGGGACAGAGACGCCCCCTCCTCCGGGACAGAGACGCCCCCTCCTCCGGGACAGAGACGCCCCCTCCTCCGGGACAGAGACGCCCCCTCCGGGACAGAGACGCCCCCACCAGGACAGAGACGCCCCCACCGGGACAGAGACGCCCCCTCCGGGACAGAGGCAGCCCCCTCCAGGACAGAGGCGCCCCCTCCTCCAGGACAGAGACGCCCCCTCCTCCGGGACAGAGACGCCCCCTCCGGGACAGAGGCGCCCCCACCAGGACAGAGACGCTGAGATCTGACAAGCAGAATCTGAACTGATAGGATCCCCAACCCTCACAACAGACTTTGTGTCCATCTCAGGCTTCCGTCCTGCTCAGACGTGTTGCTAACTCACTGTAGGTGAACTCCAACATCTGGTTGATGACTCGAGGCTCGTACTCCGTGATCCCCATGTCCTTCAGGATCTGGATCATCACCTGCAAAAACACAGTCAGGACCCGTCAGAGCGGCAGCAGGGCGTAACGTTCGTTTCTCCTTCTACTGATTAATCACGTGGAAGCTGATCAAACACAAACCTCAGGGGCTGAGACGATCAGCGGGTTGATTATTTGTTTTGGACCTTTTTAAAACAAACACTCACAGGTTTCAGCTCCTAAAACTATTTTTTAAATTATAAATCTAATATTTGGGGGTTTTGGACGTTGTAACTATTATATAAACCAGACAAATGCTGGATTACTTCAAAAGTGCCGTACAAATAAAATTGGCTCACTTCACGACAGCAGAGCTAAAATGATGATAACTGATCGACAGAATATGAATCATTCGTTTTGACAAACCATTAAGTCTTTTAGGTTAAATAACTTTGGGTTTGGGACAAAAAAAGCTATTTGAAACCATCATTAAGCAGCGACCTCGTCTGTCCGACCCGGACGACTTCGTTACATTTCACAGATGCATTTTACTGCGTTCACTTTCAACCATTATGTTATTTTCTTATTACTTTTGCAATACTCTCATTCCCACGACTACCTCCAGTATTTGCACGATAACGCTCATATTATACTGATACTGCACGTGTTTGTGTGTGTGCACACAGGCGAGGTCACGAGAACACTTCCACACCAACAGTCTGAAAACATGTCGTACTCGTCTTTCTACAGTATCGTCAGATGGAAGACGGCGACAAGTGCAGCTCAATAACTTTAGTTTTTCAACAAAGAAATCTCAAACTACTGCCAATTCATATAGCTGCTACTCTTCAACACTTTGTAAAGAAAAATTAAGAAAATTTAATAATTAAATGTGCACAGTGTTGTAATTTCAACTGCTTGTTCATTTAGACAACAAACCAGCTCTCGTCTGCTTGATGTTCTCTGTAGTTTTCAAATGTTTTTTTATATTAAAGGAGTGTGTGTTGAAGTGCATGATGGGATTGACTCGTGGAATTTCCCTGGCATTCCTGCAGGGCTGGGAAATAAATTATCACAATATAATTTCCCTCAATAACAATATAATAAATATTCAACATAGCGTCAATAGATATTTGGGTTCATTCAACTGAATCTTGAACAAATTAGCAGTTCATTTTTCTATTAAAATATTTATTTTGGGACAAACAATTTGTTGAAAAAAATCATAATTGCTTTGAATGTTCTACCTCCGATTTGTTAAGTGCTCCACTGTTCGGCATCAAGTGTTTGTTCTGAGCATAAAGAAAAGTTTAACCGCGTAATTAAACATCTGATGTCTTCAATTTTCACTCAACAGCATAAATCAGCCTTTAAACTTGAAATAAATTGGATTTTTGGACATTTATCGTGATAATTATCGATATCGAATGATGTGAAATGTTTTTATCGTGGTAACATTTTTGGCCCTACGTTCTCCGTACAGACTGCTAAATGTTCTGCTGTCGAGACATCCTTAGCATAACTGTATATGATCCTTGTAGAGACATTTTAGTTTTTCCTTTTAATTTCATTAGTGCTTCTTTTCTATACTTTATTCTATGTTGTAGTTTAATTCTATTCTATTTTGGTTTGATATGCGGGCAGGTCAACGTTTTAGCCACATGTAACATGTTCATTAATATCCCGCTGATGTGGGAGTGACGCCACTTTTCAGCTTTCATCAGAAGAGTTTTCAGACTAGAGGGGCGACGATTAATCGATTAGTAGTCGACTATTAAATTAATCACCAACTATTTTAATAATCGATTTGAGTCATTTATTTAAAATTCTCTGATTCAGGCTTCTTAAATGTGAATATTTTCTGTTGCAGTAAACTGTATATATATATATACATATATATATATACATATATATATACATACATACATATATA